CCCCGTCTACTGGAAGTGGCTCCACTTAACGCGGCCAGTTGCTGCCACATAGGAATCTGAATCCATTGTTGCCAACACTTCCCATTTTTTCAAGATAAGCCAGAAATCCTGACTTGTAGGTAAAAGTTTTATTTTACAATCCTAGCACGGGGGCCCCTGAGTGGCTCAGCTGGATAACTATCTGACTTCGGTGCAGATCATGATCTCACGGTTTGTGAGTTTGAGCCCTGCGTCGGGCTTTCTGCTCTCAACGCAGAGCCCACTTCAGATCCTGTCTCCCTTCCTCTCTGCCCCTCCCCAGCTCGTGCTCTCTGTCTCAAAAATAAACACATGAAAAAACATTTTTAATTAAAAAAAATAAAATTCCTGCACAATTTTCAAAAGATAAATTACACAAGACAAAACAGTGTAGGCAAAATAGAGCACGTGTGTGCAGTCTGCTCCAGTTACTAGGCTATCGGCCTGTAGTCTCTGCTTTTCAGCCCTCTTTTTTCTATGTCTCAAAAGACTTTTTTTACTTTGAGATTAGAAAAATATCTGACTATAAGGAGAATGAGAAGACCAGCCACAGACTGGGAGAAAATATTTGCAAAATACACAATGTGATAAAGGGCTGGTATCCAAAACACACAGTACAAATAACTCTTAAAACTCAACAATAAGAAAACAAACAACCCAATTAAAAAATGGGCAAAAGATGAGTAGAAATCTCACCAAAACAAACAAACAAAAAAAAAACAAAACAAAACAAAACAACAAAAAACCCACCACAGATGCCAAATGAGAGTATGAAAAGACACTCGACATACGTCATCAGGGAAATGCAAATTAAAACAACAAGAAGACGGTTCCATACACCTATCAGAATGGCCAAAATCCAGAACCCTGACAACATCAAATACTGGTGGGTGGGTGGGTGGGTGGAGCAACTGGAACTCTCGTACATTACTGGTGGGAATACAAAATCGTACAGTCACTCCAGAAGGCAGTCCGGCAGTTTCTAAACACACTCTTACCATAAGATCCAGCAACCATGCGCCTCAGTATTTACCCAAATGAGCTGAAAACTTGTCCACACAAAACCTATAAACAGATGTTTAGAGCAGTTTTGTTCACAATTGTCAGAACTTGGAAGCAATCAAGATGTCCTTCAGTAAACGACCAGATAGAAAAACTACGGTACATCCAGACAATGAATATTACTCAGTGCTGAAAAGAACGGAGCTATCAAAGCCATGAAAAGTCATGGAAGAAACTTCAATGCATCTTACTAAGTGAAAGAAGCCAATCTGAAAAGGCTACATACTTTATGATTCTAACTACATGACATTCTTTCTGGGAAAGGCAAAACTATGGAGACAGTAAAAGGCTCAGGGGTCACCAGAGGCTGGGGGAGAGGAAGGGATGAACAGAGAGAGCACAAGATTTTCAGGGCAGTGAAACCACACTGTATGATATTATAATGGTGAATATAGGTCATACACCACCAAGGGTGAAAACTAATGTAGACTATGGACTTCGGGTGATACTGATGTACCAATGCAAATTCATTGATTGTAAATTTTAAATGTACTCCATGCTGGTGGGGAATGGGAAGAAATCTCTGTACTTTCCACTCAATTTTGCTGTGAACCTAAAACTGCTCAAAAAAACAAAGTCTATAAAAAAAGTTGACATCATTTCTTCTAGTTAGTTTTTTTCCCCTGTTTAACAATCACTTACTTATTTGGAATTTTACTGAATATGGTCAAAGGCAGGGATGTAATTTTTTTTTTTTCAAATAGTTAACCAAGTGTGCAGCACCCTTTACTGAATACTCCATCCTGTTCTTAATGACTGAGTATACATTTGCCACCCCAGTCTGCCCAATACTCTGCCTCCACCTTCCCCCAGTAATTCTGTCACCCCGTGCCGCACCCACCTTGGGAACAATTCCTCTCCTGATTGTTCCGTGTGGTTCTGGTGAAACTGCACAGCAGAGACAGCTGGAGTCCTGGATAGAACTGGCATGGGTGACCCTGTTAGTGCAGCATCCCATGGTCATGGCCCAGGGACGGGCACATGACCCCAGCAGCACACACGGCGTCCTTCCTTAAGATTTTACATACTGACAGCAAGAAAGGTCATTTTCTTCCTTGACCTCTGCTGTAAAAATAGAAGCCTGGAAGTGTCAACAACCACACCTCCTTTTCCTCTAAGCTGCAGAAAGGAAGCCCATCAGCAATAGGACAGAAAGGAGCCAACCCTGAGAAACAAGCAAAGTCAGGAGAGAGAGGGCATTTGAGCCTCCTCTGGAGTCACCGAAGCCAGTTATCACCCCAAGGGTACTCCAGGTACTTGACAAAATAAATGCCTTTGTTTTTTGCTTAAACCAAGATGATTGATTTTCTTTCTCTTGCACTTGAAAAAGTCCTGATTTATACACAAAGCCTTTGTCTATATATTAAACTCATGCATAGTTGGGTCAGGTGTTAGGCTTTCTTTTCAGATCTACTGCTATTTCTATCTATTCTAGGGCTCAGATTACTCTTTAAAATTCTTGTATAAATCTATAAATACCTGATAGTACAAAACCAATCCTCCCCCAAACTCTTAGTTTTCAAAGTGTTCCTCACTATTCTTGCCTGTTTATTCTCCTGGATGCTCTTCAAAATCATTTTAACAAGTCACTCTCCCCCGTCAGAAAAAATTCACGGGGATTTTTCTTTGAATTACATTAATTAAAAAATTAACGAGTTGGTTTAACATATTCAAGTATTCTATGTCACCACTGTAACGTTTTTCGTTTTCTTCATATTTCTGGCATTGTTTTAAATTATTTTGGGAGTTTTGATGCTGTAGTGAGTAAAGTCTTTTTCTTTTTTTAAATTATATCCTCTGTTACACAGCAAAGCTATGGACTTTTGTATGTTTATTTCATAATCGACCAATTTTCTAGCCCTACTTCACAGGCTAGAATTACCAAGATAAGGCCAAATAATATAAATAATTAACAGACAAATTTCATTTAAGCCTCCCTCAGTAAACTTATTTTCAATAAACATGTGTTATACATTTTGCCAGTATAAAGCAACATGGTAGTATCTTTCTTTCATTATAACAACGATGACGATGACTAAAAATAAAAGCCACAACTCTAAGTATGTGGCTTCCCTCTAAACAAATTTTACAAAGAAGCCAGTAAAATACAGTAAGAAACAAAAATTCTTTAAATCAAACAGAAACCCACAACCCTAATAAAAAAAAATAAAAATAAAATGTTGGCTCCTCCCCCCACCCTATTCCTAACTAGATAATTTTCTTAACAGAATAGCAAACAAAACAAAATAGAAACAATACATCTGATACTTTCATTGAGTGGCCAACCAGCATATCACAGGAAGACCTGTTTGCTGGATGTGCATAAAATTTAAAACATTTGATTATAAAAATGATCTGGACCCCATACTGTTTCATCAGGTTAAATCTCTCAGACCAAATTTATTTTAAATACAGTAGCTCTCTGTTTACCACCTAACTTCTCTTGAAAATCTGCGTAAGTCCTTAGCAGTCCCACCTCTCTGCAATGCACTGTGAAGTTCTTCGACACTATTTCTTCCACTCCAAAGTGAGGCCTGAGAGGACGGCTATTTTAAGAGTATTTCTAATATGTCTACACTGGGCCACACAGAACTTTATCACAATAATGCTTACTCACCAACCGTGTTAAGACTCTCACTGAATTTATCCCTAATCCCTGAAAACAGTTTAGAGTTCTTAAGAACTACAGACAAAATAGATCTATTAGCCTGCGAAATTAAAGCATATGTATTATATACACTTTGCATACGTACACATTTTTTGGAAGACATGAGTACTTTGATAATTTTAAAAGGCTTGTAATAGTAATAAAATAACGTTGCGATTATTCTTCACTCACAGAAGATGAAATATGTAAGTATTGCCAGACTTTCATCTCTACATGCTAAAGCTTTAATAATGGTAAAAATATGCTATATCACCATACCAGACATGATTTAAAGCTTTTCTGGGGCGCCTGGGAGGCTCAATCGGTTAAGCCTCTGACTTTAGCGCAGGTCATGATCTCACTAGTTTGTGGGTTCGAGCTCTGCTTCGGGCTCTCTGCTATCAGTGTGGAGCCCGCTTTGGATCCTCAGTCTCTCTCTGGCCCTCCACTGCTTGGCATGCACGCACGCACATTCTCCCTCTCTCTCTCTCAAAAATAAATAAACGTTAAAAAAATGTTTAACTTTCCTTTTGGTTTCATAACTCTGGACCATCATGTGCACACCCGTAGCTGTGCAGCATCCTTTGGATCAGCCTGGGGTCTGAATATGCCCTCTGGGGCTTTGCTATCAGCTCATTCTTACCTTGCCATTCTGACTGCCACCCTTTCTCTCTTTTCAAGCTCCTATTCCACTTAATACAGGCATTTAAAAAAGTAAACTCACGAGAGCTTAAGGGCTCGGCTTCTCCAAAGAATCGAGCTCCCAGATCTGGTGCAAGGCTCTGAGAGCTACACAGACAGGACCAGAGTGCCCTGTGGAGGGGCCTCGCCTTGACAAAGCATCTTGCTTCTGTATGGTACTCCATATTTTTCAAAGAGCTCTTATCTATTCCCTCTTTCAATCACCTACAATAATTCTGTGAGGCAGGCTTGGCAGAAGTTACTCGAGCTAAAAGAATTTTTTCCTTCTTGGATGGAGAATAATTTCCCTAAGCTCACACAGAAAATCAACAGCAGAACCAAATCTGAAAAACAGGTCTCCGCACTGGAACACGCCAACCATTAGGATCAGAGAGGTAAACTTACTTTCAAATCCCAGCTAAAAGTTTTCCAGCTGAGTGACCTTTCAGAATTTACCAACTTCCCTCCGTCTCAGTGCCTGCATCTGTAAAACAGGGACGGTAATACCCACCCAGCAGCTCAGTGAGGCCCCCAGCCTGCTGCCTAGCACCTGGTACACTTTAGAGCCCTACTGACCCCAGGTTTCAGCTGCCTGGGGTCTTCATGAACTCACACACACACACAAAGGCGATGACAGGGTACCCAAACAGCAGTCACTTAATATGGCCCAATCCTTCTCAGACCTTGTTCACCTTTCTCATCTTACCTACATTCCCACAGACACTTATGGAAAGCAAAGATGTGCCAAGAACCATGCCAGAAGTTAGCTGGATCACTTAATCTTTGTTACATAAGGCACACATCCCATCTGGGATTCCAGCATCTGCTACTCTGAGCTTACTATTCTTCCTTTCCAGCAGCCTGACTCCCTTAGCCCTTGGCCCTTTGCCTGGAGCAAAAGCTAACTCCAAAGTGTTTCAACAAATAACCCAAGTATCACAAGAGTTCCACAGCACCTCTAATACCCACTAATTCCTTCATACCACAGATCAACAAACCACACCCACAGGCCAAACCCAGCCCATCCACTTCCTACTTCTGTACAGCTCATGAGGTAAGAATATCTTTACTTTGTTTAATATTTATTTTTGAGAGAGAGAGAGAGAGAGAGAGA